AGGAAAAGCACTGCCGGCCCAGAGAGCACCGCCCGGCTCTCCGCACTGCAGCGGCCTCCCCGCTGCACTTCCGCCACGGCGCCCGGCGCCTCAGCCAGAGGGCTAGGGGGCCGTTGCGTCATCCCCAGACGGCCTATCACCGCGGCGGAAGGCCGACAGGTCCCAGGAGATTGGAGGACTGTGGCGCGTGCGCTCCTGCGCACTGGCCTGTGATTGGTGGCGCGGTAGGCGCGCGCAGCTCCCACCCTCGGCGACGCCTTGCGGCTGGAGAAAGCTTGCTGCCTCGGAGCAGAGATTGGAGCGCCCTGGACTTCAGGGGATGTGATTTGAGACTGGATTGAGGCCGCCGGCGGGCCGGTTATGAATACCTCCGAGGCTGCAGAACCAGACAGGTTACATCCCCTGTTAATCTTTGGCTTGGGGGAAGAAAGGTGTAGAGAGCACATGTCAATGTATAGGACGCGGGGAACATAATGCCTCCCTAGTAGACTATAATGTCAGTGTGTTCCCAAGAGTGGAGAGTGAAACCCCCCAAGAGTGACTTAGTGTGTGAAACCTGATATGTAATACCCCCAAGAGTGAAGTGTGATATCTAATTGAACAGATCCTATGCCCTGTGATACCCTGTGACATCCTCCCTACAACGCCCTATGACATGTGTAACACTAACATGTGTGAAGTGATAAGCCCCAACCAGTGCCACAGACCCCAAGTTAGAACGGTAGAAAAGAGGAAGTGCAGAAGACCAGCTCATCCCACTCGGTGATCGGTGATCAATCCAGCTCCACAGCAACCTGCCAGAGGGGATCTCTGATGAAACCTTGGTCCAGACATCGGACGCCTGCCCGGAGTGGACCCCCAGATCAATGTGAAGGCAACCGGATCGAACACTGCGAATTAACATGTTTGATGTGTGACATATACATAAAATATATAAAAGTCTAATTGGCAACTACTAATGTCTCAACCTCCAGTTAGTGCACACTCCTTGCTCTCGAAAAAAGGTCGCAAAGCTCCTACCTAGACTTGGGCCCTCCGGGTTTCGTTCCCAACTCCTCCTTGACCAGAGTTTAGTCAGGCCTCTTTGTGATTTGCAATCGACTTCCTCTTCACTTTGCCCTGACTCCAAGTTCCTGCGTCATTTCCCATCTTCCTGGTCCTTTCTGCCCCCCGCCTGTAAATCCAGACTGGCCCCTGTGGAGTTCAGAATTGAATTCATTCTCTTTATTGCAGTAGCTTTGGCTCTTATCACACTGGTCTTGGTTTTTAAAATAAGTATCAGGTGAAGCATTTCTGTTTAACAGTCTCCAAGGCCTGCAGTGAATGAACCTTCAGCCCTAGGCCTTCAGACAGGTTAGAGGGGATCACACCGCACAGATGCAGGTTAGACTTAATATCCACGAGATCACTTGGTCTTCCACACGCTTTTACCTAAATTGTCGTATTTGGTGGCACATATGTTTCGATGGAGTCTCGATTACATAGGAGAACGCAGAACTGGGGAGGTAGTGTCAGGAGGCTCCTTAGGTTTCACACAGTTTTGCTGTGTGCTCTCACCTGGGGCTGGATAGCAATCCCAAGGTTGACAGCGTGGGAAGGCTGCCTCACCTTCACTTAGGAGACAGGAAGGCTGACCTGGAGGGGAACCAGAAGATGTGTCTAAGTTACACAGATGGCCAGTGGCAACGATCAAGTAGTTAACTTCGTACAAACCAAGCTGGTGTTCTCACTATACAGAGGAATGAAGTCACAAACCAAAAGGAGAAAACTGGGATCGTTTTTATTGGAAATGAGGAGAATCTGCAAAGTGGAATTTTCCCATGGCTCTGGGTCCAGAACTTTGGGTAAGTGGAACACGGGAATTGCCCAGCCATTTAGTGGCACCTTTCACAGTGACTCTGAATTTCAAACAAGCATTTGGAACCCAGGCTCTCTAACCCAGTTACATAACATATAGGTTTTAAAGAAAACAGATTTTGAGGAAAAACTTGTTATTTTGCATGTTACATTCCTCAAAACTCAGGAGCTTAGTCAAGAGGGGTTATAACTCCCTTCAGTAAGGAGGGAGCTGCATTCCACACTCCCTGAGGGAGTTCCTTCTTGAGTCTAAGTCCTGTTTCACTGTCTGTTCTTATTTCACTTCTTATAAATATGGCTGATCAACCAGCTCTATCTCAGGCCCTTCCGCTAGCTGGCTGCCTCACTCATAAACTCACTAAATAAACTATTTTCTACAAGGCTAGTTCACAGGTCCTCAAGCCTGCGTGCCCTTGGGAATCATCTAGGGACCTCCTGAATGAACCCCAGGTTAAGCCTCCCTCACAGCGAAATCTGAATCTATAGGGGGAGGCTCAGACATGAGTGTTTTTAAAATCACCAACTGCTTCCAGTCTTGAAAGATAACTGTTTAAAGCAGTGTTTCTCAGGCTTGGACATGCACACGAATCATTCAGGGGTTTTGGTAAAGTGCATGTTCTAGGTTTAGTAGATCTGGGGCCAAATCTAACAGTTTTTTGTTTTTAGTTTATTGGTACATTCTAGGCATACAGTACAGTTACATTCGTTACTGGGCTCTTGTACCTTTACCTGACAGGTCTTGGTTCTCATTTTTTTCCCCTTGTCCCTACAAATCCAGCATTCTTAACAGCCCTGGGGTAGACAGGAGGACTTTGAGAATGACATGGGAGATCATTCAGGGGAACCAAACAGTGAGGGGTACAGATTACCCTGGGTGCATGCGAAAAATGTGGTTAATTAGGTTTCTGTGAGGGCTCAAACAGAAAGACAGCATAGAGAGAAACTACAAAACAGAGCTCAGGGTTATGAGGGCATGAAGAGTTGAGCTGTAAAAACTAGAAACCACACAAATACTATGTGCTTGAGAACACAGAAACTATTCAATATTTACACATGTGTCCTATTTATTTACAAATGCATTTTTAAAGCCTAAATAAAATCAGCCTTCCACTTTGCCTTATTTTGTGCAGTGCTTCTGCAAAGTAGGACTTAGGCCCACTTTAGGTGAAAAATTACAACACAGAAGTTAATGGCCCATCTCTTGGGGTCTGAGAACTTCACTGGACCCCAGAGATGTACTCCAGGTGGCCCCGAAACTACAGACCGTGAGGCTCAGTACTGGCTCTCTTTCATTATTTCCCTGGTTTCTAACAAAATGTTTGGAAGATAGGGAAAAGAAATCTGTCCAATGATGGATGAGGAATATTTGTTACCATTAATTTTACATCTAAATCATACATCTAGAGAATAAGTTGACATGACGTGAGAAGATTACTGCTTTAGGAGAAATCTATAAACCCACCCACCACTAATATTAATTTTTTTAATTATCCAAGAAATATATATATATATATATATATATTTTTTTTTTTTTTTTAAGTCTTCAGAAACTCTTGGATCAGGGAAAAAACAGATTGAGAAATAAGTCATCTTTGGAATGATGAACATTATCCTGCAATATTCATACAGTTCAGGGCTTATAAAATGAACAGAAAATTCCACTTTGTAAACTGTAAACTGTACATAAAAGCTAGAAATACCGCTAGTACACTTTTTTGACAGCCAATCAAATCATGTATACCTTTAAAAATGAGTAATTTTGGGGCCAGGGATTTAGCTCAGTGGTTCTGTCACCTGCCTCGCAAGCACAAAGACCTATTGTCATAGGATAGAATTCTGAATTCATCAGGGTCAGCCCAGTTCTGCTGTGTCCCTGTGGCTTTATAATAGGACAAAGACTTACAGGGTGTCTGCAGGTGCTGTGTGGGTAACTGAAGGCAGGATAAAGCTTGGCCTTTCTCTCTTATTTTATTACCTTAAAACTTTGGACCAGAGAGCCCAGATCTGCAACTTGGCATGTTCATCACTTAAGGAATGTTTGCCTGAAAACTGGTAATACAAGGTTTATTA